GACACAGGAGGATATGTTACGAGCTTGTGTAATAGACTTCAAAGGTAGATGGGATGATCATCTGCCGCTTATTGAGTTCGCGTATAATAATAGCTACCATTCCAGCATTTAGGTGGCTCCATACGAAGATCTTTATGGATGAAAGTGTAGGTCGCCTATAGGGTGGTTCGACGTTAGAGAATCTGGATTACATGGGCCAGACCTAGTTCAACAAGCTATAGAGAAAGTAAAGTTGATTTGTAATCGACTATTGACAGCTTAGAGTCGTCAGAAGTCATATTCTGACGTGCGATGTCGAGATTTAGAGTTCGGGGTTGATGACTGGGTGTTCTTAAAGGTGTCACCTATGAAGGGTGTGATGACGTTTGGCAAGAAAGGCAAACTTAGCCCATGGTATATTGGTCCATATAGGATCATTTGGAGAGTGATCTAGGTAGCCTATGAGTTAGAATTTCCCTCGGAATTAGAGTCTGTCCATCCGGTCTTTCATGTATCTATGTTACGAAAGTGCATTGGTGATCCTACCCGAGTGGTGCCCATGAATGATGTACAGATTACAGAAGACTTATCATACGAGGAAGTTCTGGTTTTCATCCTAGACCGATAAATCTGCAAGCTGCGGAATAAGGAGATAGCCTCCGTGAAAGTACTTTGGAGAAACAATAATGTGGAAGAGATGACTTGGGAGGCCGATGAAAATATGAAGTCTAGATATAACTACTTTTTTCCTCCTCCAGAGAAGGATCCGACTGAGATGTCATAATCATAAGGTACGTGTACAAATTCTTTTATTGGCTATTGTCGTTGGTCGTGTGAGGCCATTGTCGTTATTCAGAATTGTGGTCCTGTGTGGCATTGGGTTATTTATCTTCTACGGGGAGAATTGGTAGTGGTGTTGTTACAAAGGCAGCCCTGCCAAAGTTATACAAAACACGGGGAGTTAAACATTCGAGGACGAATGTTTCTAAGGGAGGAAGGATGTTACATCTCACAATTTTCGTACGTTAAAATTTTGTTTTCAGTTAACCGATGTAGACTCGGGGATGAGATCATCTTGACGTTAACGTACTTACGCTATTTATAACAAGTGATAAATAAGTGTTACGGAGGATAAAGGAGTACAGGGAGTAAAGAAAACGAGTTTCGTTGAAAGTGACCAATTTGGAATAAAATACGGGTCGAGCGATAATACCCGATATTTAAGAACTAGTACCATGCAAGGTACCATATGACCACGGTAGTATAATGAACAAATTATATATAAAGTATATTAAAAATAAGTTGAATTTTAAGTAATTTGGGGTAATTTTTAAATTATGCAGGTAATTGGTTAATTACCGGGTAACGGGATATTACCAGATTAATTAATATGCGGATAAAAACTTAATAATTAACCCCCCAAACAATGTGGCAAGAAGCCACCAAAATAAAGAGTGACTAAGTATTCACTTATTGTCACCTAGGCATAAATAAGGAATGATGACTAATCTAAGTTGTTTGCACATATCCAATTTGAAACAAAAGGAATTCAAACAGGTTTCTTTCCTAAACTTCAAGAATCGGAAACGTTTTCTTCTTAAAATTTCAAACCAAGTAACGTTGGAACAAGTTTTAGTTTAAGTCCATTCTTTAGTTCAAAGACGTCAGAGGCAGAACAAATTCGTCCAAGATTTCAAGGAATCCAAGTGTAATTTCGTTCATATTTTAAAGAAGCAAATTCGTTCAAATAATTCAAGAAAAAGGTATGTTAAGGCTCTCCATTCTATCTTTTGGCATGATGCAAATTATATTGAAGAAATGAGCAAATACACAGTTTCCATAAATTACTCTATTCATAGAATTATTAGGGTGTCTATATTCTTGATTCCCCATGAAAGTTATTTTTATTTTCAGTTCATGGGTCTCAGAATAATACGCAGTTGGAAAAGTTTATCCGGAAGGAATATTGTGATTATTACGTATTTTTCATGCATTTCACTCATGTGCATTAACCCATGACCAGATGGCATTATATACGCATATATATGTAAATATATGTATACGGGATATGGAAAAAGGTTACGACGTTATATACGCACCATCACCTGATCAGCTGGTATATGTTGATGATGTTACCCACAGTGGCCGAGACGATATGATGGGATGCCCTCAGTGGCTTGATGATATTTTATACACCCATACCTCTGCATGGAACGACATTTATACGCACGTGCATGACATTATAAACATTTCAGAATTTACAAGTTATTCAGATTTAAAGATGTGTTTCCTTATTCCATGTTTCATCTATTTCTTTTACGTACTAATTTTCATGCCTTACATACTCAGTACCTTTTTCGTACTAACTCCCTATTTCACGGGGCTTACATTTCATGCCCGCAGGTGCAGGTAGGCAAGTTGACGGTCCCCCTTCTTAGGATCCCTGATCAGTGAGAGTTGGCATGCTCCACTTGATCCGGAGCTGCTTTTGATTTTTGTACGATAAGTTTGTGTGTGTGTGTGTGTGTATATATATATATATATATATATATATATATATATATATGGGTATGATGTGGCTCAGTCTTGTCTTTGTACTGTTATGTTTCTATTAGAGTTCTGTAGACAGTATGTCTAGTTGGATTGTATGTGGCCTTGTCGGCTTTCAGTTTTGAATAAATAATTGTCGATAGCATCCTTGCCGGCTTGCCCACTGTATTCTGCCTGTATACATACATGTGATTTGAAGGCATGTTTCCTTCTTGTATGTTATTTCGTAATTCAACAGATGTTATTCAGGTTCATATCTTAGACGCATGATTAGGGGTGTTTGACAGTTAGGACTCAGGCACCCATCGCGGCCCATCAGTTTGGGTCATGACAGACACAATATCATGTTCTTCAACTGAGGGCCCCAACTTAGCAAGTGCATCGGCCTCGCTTTTTTGTTCTCGAGGCACATGATCTAGAGTCCAATCCTTGAAGCGGTGCAAGGTTACCTGTAACTTGTCCAAATATCTTTACATCCTATGCTCTCGAACCCCAAAGCTTTTGTTCACCACCAACAAAGAATCGCACTTGGCCTCAACGACCTCGTCCCCCAAGCTTTTAACTAGCTCGAGACCTGCAACTATGGCCTCATACTCGGCCTCATTATTAATCAACCTAGAAGTTTTAATTGATTGTCTAATAGTACTACTTGTAGGTAGCTTCAAAACGATGCCAAGCCCGGACCGTTTCACATTCAAGGCACCATCTGTGAAGAGGGTCCACACCCCCGACGATGTACCCAATTTCAGCAGAAGTGCTTTTTCCACTTCGGCCATGAGGGTTGGTGTAAAATCGGCCACGAAGTTAGCTAAGATTTGAGACTTGATAGCCGTTCGGGGTTAATATTCAATATCGTACCTGCCAAGTTCGACTGCCTATTTGGCCAATCGGCCTGATAGTTTGGGCTTATGCAAAACATTTCAGAGAGGATAAGTGGTTAACACACATATTGGGTGACACTGGAAATATAGCTTTAGATTTCTAGATGTGCTTATTAATGCAAGTGCTAGTGGGTATCTAGTAGCATCTCCTAAAGTATGATTTACATAATAAATAGGGAATTTCATACCTTGCTCTTCTCGAACTAAAACCCCACCTACCGCTATCTCGGACACTGCCAAATATAAGTAAAGCTTTTCATCCACATTCGGAGTGTGAATCAGAGGTGGGCTTGGTAAATATCGCTTCAATTCCTCCAATTCTTGGTGGTAGTCCATGCAAAATCTTTTTTCTTTTATAAGAACTTGTGGCTTCGATCCAATGACCTCAAAATGAATCTACCCAAGGCGGCTATATGCCCTGTTAACCTTTGTACGGCTTTCACACTATCTACGATAATGATATTTTTGATGTCCTTGATCTTGTCAAGGTTTATTTCGATCACTCGGTTTGATACCATTAAGCCGAGGAACTTGCTGAACCGACCCCGTAGGCACATTTTTCTAGGTTATGCTTCATGATATACTTCTTCAAGATTTTGAATTATTGCTGCAAATGAGTTAAATGGTCCTCTGCGCGCATGGACTTAACCAACATATCATCAATGTAAACTTCCTTGGATTTACCTATCTGTTCCTCGAACATTTTGTTAACTAGGCGTTGGTATGTAGCTCAGTATCTTTTAGCCCGAAGGGCATTACATTGTAATATTATTTTCCAAACTTAGTGATAAACGAGGTCTTCTCCTGGTCCTCCGGGTTCATCTAAATTTGATTGTACCCAGAGTAGGCGTCGAGAAAGGTAAGGATCTCATAGTCGGCCGCGACATCGATTATGCGATCGATGTTAGGTAGCGGAAAAGAGTCTTTAGGGCATGCCTTGTTTAAATCCTTCTAATCTACGCATATTCTAAGTTTGTTCCCCTTTTTAGGGACTACAACTACGTTGGCAAACCATTCGGGGTATTTTACCTCCTGAATAGATCTTATTTTAAGAAGTTTAGTTACCTCATCATTTATTAATGCATGCTTAACCTCGGACCGGGGCCTTCTTTTTTGCTTTATTAGTTTGAACCTGGGGTCGAGAATTAGCTGGTGTATTGTTATTTCCGGTGGGATCCCTATCATGTCTAAATGGGACCAAGCAAAACAATCCATGTTATCGATAAGAAATTGAATGAGTTTTTTCCTGAGTTCGAGGGTCAACCTCGTTCCTAGGTAAACCTTTTTCTCGGGCATGTACTCGATCAGTATGACCTGTTCCAGTTCCTCGACCGTTGACTTGGTTGCATCTGATTCTTTGGGAACGAAGAAAGTTCGAGGAGTAAGAAAATCTTCCTCTTCTTTGATTACCTGTTCACCCGATTTGGTCGAGGCTGGGGGCGGTGATTGCTATTTGGCTATCTGTTTATCTTTGGCGCTCAATTTTTCTGAGGTCGAAGGCACTGATGTCGAAGTCACCTCATCGACTGCAACCATCTCTTTTGCAGCGTGTTTTTCTCCGTAAACCATTTTCAGACCATCCACTGTTGGTTATTTCATCATCTGATGAAGGGTCGAAGGTACTGCCTTCATGTTATGAATCCATGGCCTCCTGAGTAGTGCATTGTATCTCATGTGACCTTTGATAACATGGAATTTTTTATCTTGGATGGTTCCGACCACATTCACTGGTAGGATTATCTCCCCCTTCATTGTTTCGCTTGCTATGTTAAAGCCATTTAGAACTCGAGATGCAGGTATAATTTGGTCCTGCATGCCGAGCTGATCTACAACCCTTGAACTGATTATGTTTGCTGAGCTTCCTGGATCCACTAGAACACGTTTAACTCGAACTTTATTGAACAAAATAGAAATTACCAGGGCGTCATTGTGTGGCTGAGATATGCCTTCCTTTTCCTCGTCATTGAATGGTAGGATGCCCTCGGGCACATAACTCTGAGTCTGTTTTTCTCTGATGATCGATACCTTGGTGAGTTTGAATACATGCCCCTGAGGAACATCAACACCGCCAACGATCATATGAATCACATGTTGCGGTTCTTCTTGCTCCTTTTTTTGTTTGCATCACTTTCCCTGAAGTGGCTCTTAGCTCGATCACTGAGAAATTTTCGAAGATGACCCTCGTTGAACAATCGAGCTACTTCCTCTATCAGCCGCCTGCAGTCTTAGGTCCTATGGCCATGTGTGCCATGATATTTACCCATCAATTTTGGATTCCTTTGAGAAGGATCGGTTTGTATTCGCCTGGGCTACCTGGTGTCTTTGATTCTTCCAATAGCCGACACGAGCACCAATGCATCTACGCTGAAATTATACTCCAACAATCGAGGTGCTTCAACGGGGTCGGTATGTTTATCAAAACCATTCTTTCTCATAAGTCCCCAAGAGCTTTGACCTTGATAATTTCTTCGATCGTTTCGATGAATGTTATGACCTGAACCATTGTTTCTTCGATCGACATATAGCTGATATCGTTCCCCGTTTGGTCTTGGTTCCCTTCCACATCCCTCGGGGCCTTAACTTCCAATATCTTCGGATTATATGAACCCGAGGGGGCTCCCAACTAGTCATCCTCCACCCTAATCTTCGACTGGTAACGATTATGTATGTCTGACCAGTTACAACTGGGTACTCGATTAGATTTTGCTTTAATTATCGTGACGCGATCGAACTCCACTCATTCAAACCCTGCATAAAAGCTTGTACTACCCAATCATCCAAGACCGGTTGTAACTCCATTCACTCCATTTGAAACCAGCATATGAACTCCCTTAGCATCTCATCGTTCCTCTATCTTATCTTGAAAACGTATGATTTCCTTGTCTCCACCTTTATGGTGCCGACATGTGCTTTCACGAAGATGTTTGCTAACATATCAAACAAATCGATAGAGTTCGAGGGCAAGTTGTGATACCAAATCATAGCTCCCTCTGACAAAGTTTCCCCAAATTATTTCAACAATACTGATTCGATCACATCATCATTCAAGTCGTTTCCTTTAATCCCGCAAGTGTATGAGGTAATATGTTCATTAGGATCGGTTGTTTCATTGTATTTAGATATATCGAGCATGCAAAACTTTTTAGGAATGGGCTTTGGAGCCGCACTCGAAGGGAATGACTTTTGTATAAACTTTTTGGCGTTCAAACCTTTCAAGCTTGGGGGTGCCCCCGGTATTTGATCAACACAGTAGTTATAAGTCTCCACTTTTTTGTCATTATCCTCAATCTTCTTCTCCCCGGACTCAATTTTCTTGGTGAGTTCTTTGAAAATCCTCATAATTGTGGGATCATTCCCCAAGCCATTATCGTTTGGTCTTTTCGGTATCGGCTCAGTACATCGAGTGTTTTCTTGTTCGACTATACTTGGAGTTTTGTGCTGACTTTGAAGCTGACCTATAGCAATCTATTGAGCTTGTAACATCTCAAATATCACTTAGAGGCTGACTCTCCCGTCTCATATACCCTGTGTTCCTTGGCCACTAGATCTGACTTCCCTGCGTAAACTACCCCTGGGATCTGCGCCTAAATCCGCATTCAAAGCAATGTGTGAACTAACATTGACTGAATCCACATTTGTCACATCCCCAGGGTTAATCGGTGATACACTGGCTCCCGAAGCAGCTACATTGTCATTTCCCCTATGAAATCCAAGACCATCATCGCCGTGTACATGTGCATTTTGTGAGAGTGACATATTTTATCCTTAGAACAAAATGTTCTTGACAAGAACAAGTGTGAAAATAACATGTGTTATCAGAATTAGTATGGAAATAACCACTATTATCTTTAGTCCCACGGTGGGCGCCAAACTGTTTACCTCAAAAATACGGGTAATAATTAAACTTGATATATGACTTTAAAGATACGTGATTTGGTTCAATACTAATTAATAATCAAGAAAATTAATGTATAAATGAAGGAAATAAGTAAAATCCAACCAGTGTGCAAGCCAGTCTCGACCTCGAGCAAAGGTAGCCTCGAGGTGGGTCAAAAACAGTAAAGTAAGAACAACCAAGTTAAAGGACAATTTTGATGAACAATGAACAAGAAAGTAAGAGAGTATATTCATTTGCCAATGATTGATGTTGTGTACAAATGATTGGGGTCCTCTTTATATAATAGGGGAACCCTAAATAAGGTACATTTATATTTACAGTAAAAAATCTTATTAGGACAGTAGTCTAACCGCCTAGTACGGATTAGTACTAACTCATACAAATCTATTCTATAATTTACGCCACAATCTTGGGGACGTGGTAGGAATCTTGCTCATTCTTTTACAAATCCACAACGGCATTATCTCGGGGTTGGTCACACTAGGCTCTGACGCTTCTCGAACACTTAGATCTTCGAGCCTCGTGTTCTATCTTCAGGCTCGAACTCGGTCCATAGTGAGTCTATTCCTCGACACGAGCCTTTTTTTCCTTGATGTGATCCTTCGAGAATCGAGAGCACCTGATTTTTCCATTTAGAAAGGGAATCACAGGCCCATATATAGGTTGACGCAATTCTTGATGTCAGGAACTTCCACGACTAAGCTTTCATAACTCTTGGATACCAGGCCCCATGACCTTGCTAAAGTGGCAACCAATTGTTTAAAAAGAATATGAGTTCCTCAAACCACTCTGTAACAGATTAGGTACCTGCCATTTGACTGTGATGCAATTCATCATCCTTAATATCTACTTAAATTACCACTACACTTTGAGGTGAGGTGTGTCATAGCCGCAAAGATTCAATCAAACAGAAGCATATTGATGTAATAGCTAGCTGGGATCCACAATCTTTGATATTGAAGATCCCACGGCAGGGCAGTGAAGAACGAAACCACGAAGTGTGGGAGCAAAAAACCAACGAAGTAGTAGCAGAAGACACCTCAACACAAGAAAACAAAAATAAATTTTTAGCAACATTCATAAGACGTTTTCATTCTCTAAAACTAATAGATGCCATAAAATACATAAGGTCTAAGTCCCTAAGATAATGGTTCTTAATATGGGAAAAAGTTTAAGAAAATAAAAATCACACTTATAATATTAAACGAAATTGAAACCCATTTAAGTTGAGGGCATGGCCTCACTTACACAGCTGCGACTAAGTCAAGCATTGTAATACATATCCAAAAACTCTTGATCGAGAAAAGTAATCATCTCTTACATTTAGCTCCTGCTTCTGATTCGGTCCCTGAGGCCATTTCCATTGACATAAGGAACTTCATCTCGTCCATGGTAAGGAGATCAGCCATAGCTCCAACCACGAGGCGATGGGCTTTAGCGTCCACAAGGACTATAAATTTTTGAATTTTTAATTTTTTTTGTTTTTTATACTTTTCTTGTTTGACTTCAAATCCCTCAAGAAACCAGTCGAAGAAATTCATCGCCGGAAAGAGTCGAAACTTAACAATTATAATTTCTAACTATTACAAGCCGATTGAATTTAGAGTTATAATTATATACCATATTGTCTAAGAAAGCACGAAAAAAATCAAACAAAACCAACTGATAAATAGAAAACAAATACAAATACAAATACAAATACAAATACAAGCAAATATGAGCACCCCACCATACACTTAAGAGGTTGCATTGTCCACAATAAAAATAGTAGAAACTTAAGTGAAAAGGTAACTCTCTGAGGCCCTTAGCCTAATCCTCATCAACACCCTCGAAGGTGCACAAGTACTTCTCATCATCGGAGGGAACAAAGTTCACGTTCTTATCCTGTGGCATCTGTCCTCCCTCTACCAAGCCCAACCACTACTGAGTGACATCCGAGAAGGGGTGGTCCTGTTGTAGCTCCGCCAAGTCAGTCTCCCCCCGAGCAGCGCGAAGTGCATATTAGAAAATAGCAGTTGTATTGTTTCCTCGACACGAAGCAATCTCCGATCCACAGGAACAACAACAGAAAGGGGGTCTGTCACAGTTGTGACATCATAAGCCCGAATATGATGTGACAACGAAATTGTCCAATCATAATGATGCTCCTCCTCCATGTGGTGCGTTCGTAGAAGACAGAACATGAGGCTCGAAGCTAAACTAGTAGCTAAGAAAAAGAAAACAAGAAGCTATACTACACTATTACACAAGTGCTTAACATGAACTGGACATCGCAATTAGCAACTAATAAACAAAAGAGTGGGCAACCGATTAGCACTTGGGGCTAACACGTTACAATTCTATCAAAATTACAACATGACCGTCCGCCCCACACTTATCATCTAGTATCATATTATCATATAACAATTATCTTTCAATTAAGAAATAATTCACATTCTAAGTCTTTACGACATTTTATAAAACACATTGTAGTCACCAAGTTCAACTTATAACTTCAACTAAAAGTGGTCTAGAATCACAACACAATAACACTAATCACATACCCAATAACAACCATAATATCACCATGTCTTAATACTAGCACAAAGTATATTTTGTGCTCTAATTTTTGCACAAAATATACAAATTTTCGGCCATGTACTCACCCCAACCAAACTTCATCACAAAATAATTCTAACACCATTGAGATACTCCAAAAATATTCTACAAGCATAATAATAACGAAAATCCCCACAAAAGCAAGTACAATTTCGGCCAAATTAGAAAAAAAATACCTAAAAGATTAGCAAAAATAAACTATCTAGGGTTAGAGAAATCAAACCAAAACTATCTAATTCTACAACTAAATAATAAGAAAAAGATAAAAGAAGAGAAGAAGAACTTACCTTGATGACTGATGAAGGTGGGAGAATTCGAGTGGAAGAAATTTGAAGAAGATAATGAATGGGGCATTTGGGGGTGAGTTAGAGAGGGGAATTTGAGATAAGAGAATAATTGTAAAGGAGGGGAGAAATCG